TAAACGCTGAACCCCAAACCCCTAAACCCTAAACCCTAAACAGAGAGTTGCGGATTCTACCGGTTCTTACAGGGTCCGGGATTTCTGGGCTCAGTGTTGAGGGGTTCGTTCAGATAGGGTTCTTTTAGGGGTCTATGCCGGGTTCCACGAAGGTGGGGGTTCCACAGAACGTTCGGGGCTTTGTATGGAAGTGTCTGAAGGTTGAGGGTTTAGGGTTTATGGGATTTAGAAGCCAAGCCCCTCAACGGCCATAAGCCTAAACCCTAAACCTTAAACCCTGAACCCTAAACCCCTTCGGGCTTTGGGTTTCAGAGGTGTAGATGAGGGCTCTTTGTTAGGGGGAGTTGTCCGGCTCCTGAGGTTGAGGGTGTAAGGTTTAAGGGTTTGGGGTTAGGGGTTTAGGGGTTTCGGGTTTCGGCTTTAGGGCTTCAGGATTTAAGGGTTTAAGGGCTAAGGGCTTTGGGTTTAGGGTTTGGGTCTGGGTTGGGTTTAGGTCAGGGATTTACGGGTTAGTGCTTCAGGGTTGAAGGGGAGTTTTAGGCTTTCACGTGGTTTGGGGTTGTATCAAGTGCGTAACATCCTGCGCCACTCTGGTAAACCGCATAGGACGAGCACGTTCTGCCGGTCATGGTTTATGCTCGTGTGTCCGGAAGACTCTCGGATTCTTCGGGCATGGGCAATGCGAGCTCCCGAGGGCGCAACGACATCCTTGAGACATCCCTTGCTGGCCGTTGAAAAAGTATTCCAAAGGGGCCTGCCGAGGGTGCTCGGATGTGTGCTGTACGGCATCCCTCTTGGCTCCAGGGTTCAGAGTTCAGGGTTTAGGGTTACTTCTCAGTCCGATGATCACATGATCGCTATAAAGACAGATATCTAACAACAGTTGCAACACAAACCTACATTGGTGAAGCTACCAAGCTTGTGTTTGGAGCTGGTCTAGGCTTATACAACTTGCTTCAACAATCCTATGCGTGTAGCAACTATATTCTGTTTACTGACGGAAAGCCCCAGTTGCTGTACGTATAACTGCCCATGAACAGCTACGCTTTTAGGCCGTAAACATAAACCTCGAAACTCAGGACCATTTGGGCAGAAGGTCAAACAGAGGTTTGCATAGAAGGGTCCCCTTAAAGGGGACCCTTCTTAACCCTACTTCTGGCTTTGTTGAGAGGATCTTTATCCGCAGGGGTCCCCCTAATCCTAACTCCTCATTTATGGCCTCTCCAGACCCTTATAAAAAAAGAAACCCTCATCAGTGTCGGTTCTAAGAAGGTCGACAACCACGTCGCAGGGAAGGTCGCTGCGGACTCAGAGACGTGGTTTGTGGGGTATAGGCAAGGGCTCAAGGGGTTCAGTCCCCGGTTTCCCGAAGTTTCTCAGAGGCCCCATATATATGGAATTAGGTCCCTGAAGCCATAATAATAAGTATGGTCTTTTGGGACCTACTTCCATAATGGGAGTATATATGGAGCCTCTAGGTTTTTTCAGGTTTACGATTTTAGGGCTGCCGGCTTTTAGGCCAATGCTCCTTGTAGGATTGGAGTGTCGGGTCCTGCAGTCGTGCATTCGTCGTCGCCGTCCTCACAGCAGCAGCAGCAGCAGTACTCCTTCTACCGTCTTGGTAATCTGACTAGTTTATGGGGAGCAACAACAGGTGCCTCAAACCCTAAACCTCAAACCCTAAACCTCAAAGGCGAGTAAACAGGGTGCAACTGGTGTTTTCAGAGACGGACGTGTAAAAAGAGTTTAATTCGTTCGCAGATGTATTGGATTTTGTGGGGATTTGGGGTTCAGGGTGTATGTCGGCTGATGACTATGATGCGTGCATGCTGCAGACTTGTGACCGGTGTGTTGCTTAGAGGCTTTCTGGTTCTTTGCATTCGAGTTCACCCAGGCCTCTACTGTTACTGATGCATGAACATTCGAGCGTGCGTGTTTCTTGGGCTTTGGGCCTCGAGGTAGACCCGATCGTGGATTTCCACACCAGCTACGGTGCAGAGGCACGCCTGCTGCGCAGAATCAACCAGCACTTTCTGAGTCCACCCCGCAGACCACATCAATCACCTGAAACTCTGCAGTCTCCGCAAACGTCATAAACCCATACGTACTGTGGGGGGGCCCGAGTATTCCGAATGACGTAGGCGAAAAGAGGGGACCTTTAACCCTGCATAGCAGGATCCCGAAATAGGGACCCCCTAGTTTTTTCAATAGTTTCAATAGGGCACATGTTGTTTTGGAAAATGCTCAAATCCGAAACTTGAACCTTCACGGCCATACTGGCGAGATGAGCTCAAGGACGAAGAAACAAGAGCCTAAACATCGCAGCCAGCCACCTCAGAAAAAGGGTCTTCAGCACAAAAGCAAAGCATAAGCCCGAAGTTTTCTCTCTCTCTGCGCTTAAGCCTAAACCCTAAACCCTAAACCCTAAACCCTAAACCCTAAACCCCTAAACCCTAAACCCTAAACCCTAAACCCTAAACCCCTGCAACACTCGACCCCTGATCTTCAGCCCTAGCCTGGTACATCCAGTACAGCCGACGTTATAAAACCCAAACCCTGAACCCTACACCCCAAAGCCTAAACCCTAAATCCTCATCCCTGAGCCCTACACCCCAAAGCCTAAACCCTAAACCCTAATCCCTGAACCCTACACCCCAAAGCCTACAGCCTAAACCCCAAACCCTAAACCCCAAACCCCAAACCCCAAACCTTACACGAAACCTTAGCCTGGAATCCTTCAACCTCAAGCTTCAACCCCAGACCGAACCCCGAGGCTTCGGACGACAAGCTGACACGAATTCTATCTTTTCAGCCTTACAAAGGAGCCCTTAAGGGAGCCCTATACCTATAGATCCCTTTAAAGGAGCCCTTAAAGGTGCCCTAGAGATCCCTTTAAAGGAGCCGTTAAGGGAACTCTATAGATCCCTTTAAAGGGAAGAAAAGCCCCCTGAAGACATGTTGAACCCTAAACCCTAAACCCCTAAACCCGACACAGTTGAGAGGTCCTGAAGATCGTCTCTGGGTTCAGACCAGAGGATACGGACAACCAGGGAGCCCGAGCCCCAGATTGCTCCTTACTCCCAAACCCCAAACCCTAAGCCCTAAGCCCTAAACCCAGATTGCTACTGTAGGGCTTCAGGGTTTAGGGTTTAGGGTCTACACCGGGTGACCTGAAGCTCAGGGGTTTCTATCGTGTCGGTTTTAGGGTTTAGTTTAGGGCTTTAGGGTTTGGGGTTGAGGGTTGAGGGTTGAGGGTTGAGGGTTTAGGGTTTAGGGTTTAGTTTAGAGCTTTAGGGTTTCGGGTTTGGGGTTTGGGGTTGAGGGTTGAGGGTTGAGGGTTTAGAGTGTAGGTTTGGAAGTTTATGGGTAGTTCTAAGTGGGTTATTAGTACCCTAATATGGGTCATAATTCTATGTACCCTACTCAGATCCCCACTCACGACTATTTTTCTGGGCTTCTATAACTATACCGGGGGGGTTAGGGTTTATGCTGTGGCCTTGTGCAATGATATGTAGGGCACCAGCAATTCAAATGCCACTTCTTGGAACCTTAGGGGTTTTGTCCTCCCAAGAGCCTTACGAGTTCAGGGGCGTACGAATTCAGTGGTGGTGGTAGCAGTTTTAAAAGGAAGACTAGCCGTCACATTTCACGAATTACTTGAGCAGAAACGATCGGCTGGTGCTGGGATACATGACCAAGACCACGTTGGAGAAGATCGACATCTTGGTGACCCGCTGTCTCAAGGTGGGCCGTCACTGGCCAACAGAAGATGCGGTCGGTCACATCATCTCAGCTGCCATTGCGGCGGGGCTTGAAGGGGGCGACCGACAGGAGTACTACGCGAGAGTGACGAAGTTCAAGCAGGTGCTCCACAAGAAACGTTGGGGTGTTGGATCTTGTTTTGTCTGCTTGAGGCTCCGTAGGTCTAAAGATTAGGGGTTTAGGGTTTTTTGGGTTTTTGGGCTTAGGGGTTGAGGGGCTTAGGCTTTGTTGGGGTTTAGGGGTTTAGGGTTTAGGGCTTAGGGTTCGATGTTTAGTGTGTTTAGGGTTTAGGGTTTAGGGCTTAGGGTTTAGGGTTCGTGTTTCAGTGTCTCCATCCTGCGCCCCGGTTAAAAGCATCATGGAGTAGGTCTTACCGTTTCATTGGCTGTGTCAGCCTCTGCAAGTTTATGCTCTAACAAGTCATCTTCCCCACGAGCCTATAACCCCTGAAGCTTAGAAATAGAACATCACCGAGTTTAGGGTTTAGGGTTAGGGCTATGTAAATCTAAGTCTGAGAGTGCTTTCTCGTAGAGGGCTTCGGTTAGGGATTCGGGACTTGAGAAAGCCAGGGTTTTGCAGAAGGAACTTTTCCTTTGCTTTAGTCCCACATGGTGCAAAATTGTGCAGGGACACGGTGGGGACAGGTCCTACCGTGCCCTACAGTTTGCTGTGTAAGACACCCAAACCCATAGACCCCTAAACCCTAAACCCTAAACCCTAAACCCATAAACCCATAAACCCATAAACCCCTAAACCCCAAACCCTAACACTCAACACCCCTCAATCCTAAAACTTGCAAGACCTTGCACGACTGAAGGCCTTCCAATGCTAAATCCTTGCAGACGTCCATCGGAGGGTTTAGGGTTTAGGGTTTAGGGTTCGGGGCACAGAGCCTCCCTTGGGTTTGTGTTTTAGGGTTAAGGGTTTGAGTTTAGGGTTTTAGGGTCTTGGGGGGTTGAGTGTCTTTCTAAGGATGCACTATTAACTACGGTTGGGGTAAGTATGCACCATAAAGGATCATGAAGGTTTTGAAGCACCCTGAGCTTCCCCGGACTCCGACATCGGCCTCTAAGCCGCAAAACACTCCAATATGCAGGCCTTAAATTAATTATCACCTTTACTATTTTGGGGTTCCTCATTATAGTCTTAGTGTCATATATATATATATACACATACATATACACACCCCAAAACCCTATTCTGATTATTAAGGCCATTCTAGTAGACCCCAATCGCAGATTGGTGTCCTCATCAAGTACGACATCAAAACGCTGGGCCGCGAGTTGGTTCCGCGCAAGGAGACCGGCCGCAAATTCGCACGAGAAGTCCAAACCATAGTTGGTGCTAAGTAGGGTCTAAAAGGAACTGGTAGTAGCATTCCTACGAAGGCCTGTTACAGCTATAGCCAAATTGTGGCCTCGTTCGTTTACTTTGCATACGCCAAGACCCTCCACCCCCAGCTCCAAAGCCTAACCTGTTTTGCTAGCCTGGCATTTGGCACCCATGGCGCCCATGGGGGTGTGAACCATTAGCACTAGCATGTCCTTATATGTTCCGTATGCACACAAATAAATAAATAGTTATATGTTTGTATATATATATACATATACATATATATATATATATAAACACACTCTCATTCCTCGCCAACATGTACCTCAAAACTCTGATCCATGTTTTAAGGCCTGCAAAATGCAACCATATCCAGTACATAGAAACGCCGATCAAGCCCTGAATCGAAAAGAGCCCCTGCTAACAGCTGCTTTTGCTCAGCGCTACGTGAGGAGACAAAGGTTTCCATGATCGCCACCTTGGAGGTTGGAGTGAAAGACCTGCATGGGGCACCCGTAGGTCAGGGGTGATGTAGGGTTTAGGGTCTGGGGTTCTATAAGGGCAGCGTTTAGGGCGATTTCGGGTTCAGGGTTCAGGGTCTGGCACATATGGTGCAGTTAAGGTTTGGGGTTTAGAGTTTTGGGTTTACATGATCCTTTTGCAACAGGTTTTGGCGGGACGGCAGAGACCGAGCAGTAAAGAACGTGAGAGCCTTCTTTGAGCCTTTTGCCGATGTGTGCTCGAACGTTTGCAGGATCATATACGCGAGGTGGAGATGTCGGGGGTGATGCTAAGCTGCTAAGCCCTTGATACAGGGTTTAGGGTTTAGGTACCATAAAGCCCTACCCCCGAACCGTGGTGAATGAGGCTTGCAGATGAACCTGCAGTGGCTGCAGCTGTGTTGTTGCAGGTGCTGCTTGAGAGAATTGTTGACTGGGACGCTCTAGTATAGGAGGCCTGAAAAAATGCAACAGTATTCTGAATTCACTTATGGTCCCGATGGAAACTGTACGCTCGTGGACCCCACGACCATATTCTAATTCTCAAGCTCTCTATAGCACCAACTGGCGGACCACAGTGGTGAGAACATTCTTCGTTTTGTGCCTGCGACAGGAACAGAGGCTGCTTCGGGATCAGATGGCTTGGAAGCCGTTGCGTTTGGTGCAGCAGAGAGCCGTACATCGGGGTCCCCGACCTCGCTCTTCTATGCACCTCAGGGTCTCAGTGCGACGGCAGTTCCTCATCGTCCGCACCTGGGTGCACCAAGTCTGTCTGGTGTTTAGTAGGGAATGGGGGAATTGATCCCTATGATAGTCCCTTAAGGTCCCATATAGTAGTCCCTATAACCCATTCCCCCATTCCCTACTAAGCACCGGACAGAAGTGTTCGGTTGGAGGTTCCCCAGCGGCCATCTTTTGCCTCTTCTCTGAGGACTTTGAGGGCTTACCCGAAGCGGGGCACTCTCTATGGCATGTTTCTCTTCATTGTATTGGAGGCACCTTCCAGACGAGACGCTCATTTTGAGACTCCTCTGTATGGGCCAGTTCCATTATGACACGGAGACCTATGTGGGTAGTTCTCTAAACAAGGGTCCCTTTAAGGGTACTTTTTAAGGGTGCCGTATTCTTATGGGCACCTAAATAGGGATCCTAATTTAGAGAACTGCCCATGTACTTGTTTCAGTGGGGGAGATATAACTTATTAAGTCGCAGTACTGATAAGTGCGACACAAGCTTCACTTTTACTTCGAGCTTGACAAATTGATACTGAAATCATACAGGCATTCAGTACTAGAGACTATCAGTATGCGCAGCTTCTGTGTGAAGAGTATCAACCAGTGGGGACACCAGACATGAGATTTTAAACGAAGTAATTAACCATTCGGGCTTCTAGACAATAGAGGCGTTTGGATACTTCGCAGTGGTCTTCCGTTCTACTCCCTATCGTATCATCGTCTAAGAAACTCTTTCCTAACTAAGGTCCCTACACTACTGTTGATGATGTAAAGTATAAATCGTACATTACCTTAAGGACTATAGCTCTATGGGAATTATGGTATATTCCTTCTTATGGGTAATGCAGGATTTATGTAATCCACCGTATTGACCCCCGCGGCAGGTCCTGTCTCAGATCATGGAGGAGCTGGGATACAAGCTTTCGGCTCAGGTCTTGTGCCGGTTTTGGTCTTTGCGGCTCAACATTTGTATGGGTTTAGGGTTTAGGCTTTAGGGTTTAGGCTTTAGGGTTTAGGGCTTAGGGTTTAGGGCTTAGGGTTTAGGGTTTAGGGTTTAGGGTTTAGGCTTTAAGGCTTTAGAGTTTAGGCTTTAGGGTTTAGGGTTTATAACCCCATTTATAACTACCCATGAACCTCCAAGTACTCCTCCAATACAAAACCTCGCACGCCAAGCGAGGTCGGAAGGATTGGAACACCGAAGCAACCTGCCCACCAACCAGAGATGGCAGCAGCCACGGGTTTGATAAATCAATGGTTTAGGGTTTAGGGTTTAGGGTTTAGGACTGACTTTCATACCGAAGGAAGAGCAAAGTGTGTGTATACTTCAGCACTGGCTAAAGATACCGCACAAGTTCCCATGATTGTACAGAACAATACCCCAGGAAGCAAAAAGTTCGCGTTAAGTCTACAGAACAATACATCCGACAGAAGGACACGAGACACTGCCCTGGGCCCGGTCGAGGAGGGTAGTTGTACGCTGTACGATACGATCGGGATCGTCAAACCCTAAACCCTAAACCCTTTCTCTCGAAACCCTACCGTAACATTGTCGTTTATAGCAATTGTGGTATCATACATGGCTAAACCCTTAACCCTGATAACTAAACCCTAAACCCGACCGAAACCCTAAACCCTAAACCCTACCTAAACCTCAATCCCCAAGCCCAGAAGGACCCCAACGCTCCTCGCATCACTCAGGCTCGACTCCTCTGACCTGCAGCGGAGCTTCTTCGACTACGGCATGGACTCGTCGGGCACCCAAAGCCAAGATAGGGTCTTGGAAGGGTCCTTTAGAAGGGTGCTGCAGGGGTTTCTTTTACAAGGTGTATGATGAGTTTCTATAGGGTTCTAAGATCAAAGGAGGAGGCTTAGGGTTGCTGTGTTCAGGGTCAAAGCCTATAAATCCCCAAAGCCCTTACTTGGAGGTTCATGGGTAGTTATAGGTGGGGTTAAAAGTCCCCTAATTTGGGTTATAACTATAGTTACCCTACTTATAACCCCACATATAACTACCCCTGAACCTCCAATTAAATCCCCAAGACCCATCCCCCACAGATCACAGATCGAAGCCCCCAAGCCCTAGAGCCCTCAACCCTAGCGATGGCAAACCCCTGAGCTCTCAAGCCCAAACCTTCCACGAAGAAAACACCACGATTACCCGAACCGCTAGAATTCAATCCGAAATCCTAAGCCCTAAACCCTAAACTCTAAACCCTAAACCCCAAACCCTAAACCCACAGCCCTAACTAAACCATACTAAGCCCCAAAACCCTAAACCCTAAACCCTAAACCCTAAACCCTAACTAAACCATACTAAGCCCCAAAACCCTAAACCATACCGGGCTCGCAACCGAGGCTCGAGCTCATCCGGGTGCGAAATCGCGCCTCGGCTCTCGCTTGGGGTTTAGGGTTTAGGGGTTTAGGGTTTAGGGTTTAGGGTTTAGGGTTTGGGGTTTAGGGGTTTAGGGTTTAGGGTTTAGGGGTTTAGGGTTTAGGGACGATCTTGGGAGGGATTTGGGACAGTTTGCGGTTCAGGGTGGTTATTATGTTTGAAGAACGACGATCTTGAGAGGGAGTTGGGACAGTTTAGGGTTCGGGGTGGTTATTATGTGTGGGGGTTGAGTACTTTGATGTGTAGTGCTTTTTCATGGTTTTAGGAGCGGCGTGTTGGCTCTTGTTTCGTGGTTTGTGACATGTAAATTTATGGTTTTGGGATTTTAAGCTTCAGGGTTGCGGTTTGGGCTTCCGGGCTTATCCTGAGAAGAGGACTTTCACCATCTCTGCTTCTGTTCAGTATTAATATGGTCATCGTGGAGTTCCTCCTAGCCCAAATTCGTCCTCCTGTTGCATACGGGCCTGAACGCAAACTAGTTCGTCACATTATTCCTGCAGGTTCTGTAGTATACCTATAGTATGCTCGACCCCGACACCCTGTTCGACTTCGTAAGGCCCGAACATGAGCCCAAAGCAGGGCGTTTCCAAGACAGGTTCGGGCCCCTAGTTGCCAAGAAGCAGGAGCTACTTCTTCTTCTTCTCAGGGCCGACGCCCAAACTCTAAACACCCATATGAATTATTATCACGGTGTAAGGTTTAGGGTTGAGGGTTTAAGGGTTAAGGGTTCTGAAGTCCCATATCCCCAAGCCCGAAAGCCCTAAACCGGAGAGGCCTGTGTAGCAGCTTCAGCATGGACCTGCCGGTCCGGTCCCCCAGGACCTTGGAGTGGGGCTGCAGAAAGGGCGTCGGAATACTCAGTATATCGTTCTATTCTATAGGGTTCATCAGTGTTATTTTGTCTTATATCATACACCAAAGCCCGGTTTCCGACATTCTTGCTTAGGGCTCCAGTTCATATTTATACTATAGTGCACACGGGACTGCAAAGCCCTGTTCGAATTGTGTATATATATATATATGGCACACCCCCGGTACCTACCTTTTCTGTTGTTTATCAACTATAGGGCCACACTTGTGCTGGTTTGGACTGGTACCGGGGTGGGGAGGTGCCCCAAAAGCCTTGTGTCTGCCCGATAAGCCCTATGTGTACAGACGGTGCTGTCAGTAACCTTGTCTCTGCCCGATATGCTTTATGTGTACAGACAGTGCTGTGAGTAATCTAAGTTCATCGTATTACTGGGCTGCTCGTCACTGTGACTCGTGCTACGTGATATCGGGGCGGCTTCAACTTGGGTCGGCCCGATTCAAGTTGAATCCGCCCTCGGATTGAAGATTGAAGATCCCTGGGAAACTTCTTCCAGGAATCTTCAATCTTCAATCCGGCCCCCGATTCAACTTGAATCGGGCCGATTCAATGTGAATCAAGGATGACACGGCCTTCTTGCAGATATCGCGCAAAGCACGGCCACACCGCCATCAGACATCCCGGTTGGCGCTGGCACTATTCCAACTCCATGGCCTTCCTCAACTTCCCGGTCCAACCAGCTCATCTTGGAAAAGATTCGCGACGGCTCCATGAATGTTCATTCTTCCCGCCTTCCGACATCCACCGAAGCGCGGAATATGTGCCGCAACATCTAACGCCGACTCGGGCTGTCGATTGGAGTGGATGGCGGTTAGAATCCCCGCGCCGACGCAAGCCTCTTACATGTGCTACAGAATAACAAGCGGGACGACAAGCGGAAGGCGCTCGCCCTTGAGGACACACCCCACAAGATGCTTGCCATGGAGGACACGCCTGAAGCTAATCGTCCAGTGGATGTCCCCCCCCCTCCAGACGGCACCCATGCCACGGATGGCAACGACCACATCGACAACGACATCCCTGCCCATGTACATGCTCCAGCACCGGATGCGGTCGCCCTTTCGGATGAACAGCAGCCCGTTCAGGAGAAAGGCCAAGGCGACGACAGCGACTCAGAAGATTCATCCAGCAATGCCTCGTCATCGGTGTCAGACTCTGTGCCCAATGTCAACACGTCAGCCTGGCCAAGGACTTCCATGATGCCTATCAGTGCGGTTTGTTCATGTTGGACGCCGGGTTCACGGAGACAAGCACGCGCCGCGCTAGCATCAAGGTGCTCAGAGCCGTCGTGGAAGCCAAGAAGGCCTTTGGCAGTGTCTAAGACATCAGTACGATGATGCATCTTCCATAGACTAGTTGCACGTGAGCAGACGCGACCTGCTAAAACAAACGCGGTGTGCAGTGCCCTTGCTTTGCTGCTTTGTGGTAACGCATCTGTGCATACTCTCGTACGGACATAGAACGTGGTAGCTACCGCGGGGTTGTTGCATATATATATATATACACACACACACATAGAATGTTGAGGCCGTAAGAATCAGAATAGGGTTTTGGGGTATATTATTCTATCATTTTAAGAAGGACCCCCCATACTGGTATCCGTAATTGGCCCCTACAATAGAATAATTGTCGGGTTTTAGGATGTTGAGGGCTTCGGTGGAAACTGAGGAGGGAACAACCTCAGAGTTAAGGATTTGGGGCTTAGGGCTTTAGAAGTTTACGCTTTTGAAAAGTATAGGCTTTGTAAGGTTTAGGATGGTTTAGGGATTTAGAAGCTTCGGGCTCGGGGCTTAGGGTTTGGGCTTTTGACGTTTTGGGTCTGGTGTGAGGTTTTGAGGCTTCAGGCATGTTGGGCTTCAGTGTTGAGGGGCGTTGTTTTCAGGGTTTGGATTCGGATTTGGAGTGTTGACCCTGGGTGTATGGACAGATGCTGTGCTTTAAAACCCTAAACCTAAACCCTAGTTCGACCTGATTCATCCAGAAGCAGAGACTTCGCCTGAACTTCTACAATTGTGAACCCACAACCCCCCCACTCCCGTGCCCCAACACAAACCACAGGGTTTAGGGTTTCGGGTTTCACCCTACCCGGAACCCGTAAACACGAAACCCAAAGCCTGTACGCGAACCCGTGAGACCTTGTGCAAGGGCTTCGGATTTGGAGTTTCGCCGTAGTGGCTGAAAGTTTGAATGTTTGGGCTATGTTTTGGGAGTTTAGGCGTGCATCTCGGGTTCAATAGGGTTCAGGGTTGAAGGTTTAGTAGGTTTTGGGCTGTGGGCTGGTCCAGTTTGTCATGACAAACGGACGTCACAGAATCAGGCAGGGCGACTCAATAGGAACGAAGCCTAGTCAGCGAACTACGGATGTATGTCTACTGTAAACCCTTTGCTATAACCCCGGCCAGAGGTCCACCATACAGGGTTTTATAGGGCGCTGAAGGGGCACTATAGGGCTGTATGTGGTTTTGCAGGACATTGTAAGGTTTTGTACGGGTCGCCGGTGTGACATGCACTACCTAAGCCCTAGAAGTAGGCAAAACCCTAAATCCCTAAACCCTGAAGGCCTTAAACCCTAAGCCCCACACCCTTAAACCCTTAAGGCCTAAACACTGAACCCTAACACGCTAATATCGGAGCCAAACTATTTACCAATACCATTTTGGGGTTCCTCATTATAGTTATAGTAGAATATCCCCCGGAACCCCATTCTAACTTAATGCCCGGTTAAACCTTGGGACAGAGAGGCGCATCGTTTTGCCAGGCAACTTTGCTCCTTGACTTCCCGACGGTCAAGGACGCGCTTTAGGGTTTAGGGTCTGGGGGTTAGGGTTTGGGATGTAGGGTTTAGGGCTTGAGGGTTGTGGGATTAGGCTTTACCTGAGACCGGAAAGACCTACCCTTTTTAAGGACATATCCTAAAGAGATAGGTTTGTTTTTAGGGTTGAACTATCTCCAAAGACTCCAAGTATACAAACAGCACCTACTTGGAGGTCTACAGTCTAAAGTGTATACATGGAGCCTACTTTGGGCTATTTGGGGCCGAGGGTACGGAAACGAAGAGATCTCTACCATAAGGACCCCTGAAAAGGCGTCTGGAGCAGGTCTCTACAGATCTCCATGTTAGCAGGATCAGCATGGTATGCAACGAGACCTCAACTCTAAACCCTAAAACCTAAACCCTAAGACCCTAAAACCCTAAACCGAAAACCCTAAATCCCTAAACACCAACACCCCAAATCCCAAACCCTAAAGCCCTAAACCCGAAACCCTGAAAACCCTAAAGCCTAAAAACCCTAAACCCTAGGATTCGACTCCACTCTTGGCTGCGGATTTCTGACTCTGCCGGTTCACTCCTTTTGTCCAAGGCTAGTTCAGGGTTTAGGGTTTAGGGCTAGAACTTAAGGTTACATGTGGGCAGTTCTCTAAATTAGGGTTTTTCTTAGGGTCCTTTTTATAAGGGTGCCGTACTACTTTTGACTTCTGGGAGTTAGAAGGAGGCCCTGACTTAGAAAACTTTTATATTGGTTATATAGTTGGTAGATAAGGATCCCAGGGGTTGAGGGCCCATACACCCTACCTTAAGAACCCAAAACCCAGTTTTCCGTAGGTTCTTATTATAGACCCTAAAATGGGATTTATAGGGACCCTACAAAAAAGTAGGTTTTGGGTTCTTAAGGTAAATCTTAAACCCTACAAGGGCCCATTGGTTCAACCTTGAACTTTGGTGTAGTGGATGAGCACCTACCCAGACCCCCAAAAAGATCTAAAAAATAGATCCCCTAAGGGGGCTCCTATAAAGTACCCTTTAGTAGTTAGGGTCCCAAATTAGGGGATCTACTTTTTAGATCCTTTTGGGGGTCTGGGTAGAAAGCCTGTGGAGCTTAGTCCTAGACCTGCCTTGCTGTTTTGTCATGGCGTAGAGGTTTGGGTTTAGGGTTTAGGGTTTCGGGTTTAGGGTTTAGGGTTTAGGAGGTTCATGGCTGGCTATACGTGGGGTTATAAGTCGGGTAACTTTCATGATAAGCCATATTACTGCACTTATAGCCCCACTTATCACGACCCATGAACCTCCAAGGAGTACGGCGAAGCTTTGAGGATGCAGATCTGTAGTTCTCCTTGGGTGCAGTGGTTCTTCCTAGTCCGGGGCTTAGGATTCAAGTCCCTAAGCCTAAAGCAAGCTTGCGAAGACCCAAGGCCTTGTCTTTCTACTTATTATGGGACTTAGTGAGCATGGTTTTAAGTAAAGTAACTATGGTGGTGAGTACTTATTACCCCAGTTGGGGCACTTGCATACCTGCTTGCTACTTCTCGGACGCCGTAGCAGCCGCAGCTCGGGAGAGTGTGACTTGTACATCGGGACTGCGAGGACTTAGCGGACCAGCTAGACCGCGATCGAGGAATAGGCGGGGTAATGTCAAGAGGCATGGGCTTAGCTGGGCTTGGTCACACATTCGGGCCTTCACAACTTCTACTTTTCTTCTTATTGTCGGCCCTAAATCAGCCAACACGAAGCCATAAAGACCTAAACCCTAAACCTCAAACTCTAAACTCGAAAGCCTAAGCTTGGAACCTCAAACCTCTTTGTCCTTCTGTTCTTACTGTTGATGATATAAATCCTGCATTACCTTAAGGACCCTAAACTATGGGAATTATGGTACATTCCTTATCATTTATGATGGGTAATGAGGATTTATATCATCAACCGTACAGCCCTGGTGGCCCGGATTCACTGCAGGTATTATCCGCTTATTCAGGGTTTAGGGTTTAGTCTGTGGTCTAGGGCTCAAGATCCAGAGCTTGGGGTTGGCTGTGAGCTCTGGATTTCTTGGCGCCTGTGCCTTCCTTCGGATTCAGAGTTTAGAGCTCGAATTCCGGTTTTGGGGGAGAATGAATTTTGAACAAGGCCCGAAATCTGGGCCATACTCGTGGAACGGCACAAAGCCCGCAACCTCAACCCGTCGACCCCCAAAGCGAAGACCCCCAAAGGTCCTGACTTAAACCCTAAAGCCCTAAAGCAAAGCCTTTGGCCCTAAATTTTTAAACCGACAACTCTAAATCGAAACCCTAAACCCTAAACCCTTAGGAATGTCCGACGATTTTGGCGCTTGCTGACATAGCTGGAGCAAGTCCGAAGAGAGACCCCATAAACCCTAAACCCTAAGCCCTAAGCCCTAAACCCTAAACCCCCTGAAACCCGAAACCCTACCCCCCCCCGGCCCCGCCGCCCCGCTGCCCAAAGCACCGCCCATGAAGGCGACGGCAGCGAGACGCTCTCGGGTTCAGAGTCGGCCGCCTCCCTCAGATAGCAGCGTCTAGGGTTTAGGGGTCTAGGGTTTAGGGTTTGGGATTTAGGGTTTAGGGTTTTGAGTTTAGGCTTTAGGGTTTAGAGTTTTAGGGTTTAGGGCTTCAGGGTTTAGGGTTTTAGGGTTAGGGTTTCAGGTTTAGAGTTTAGGGTTTAGGGTTTTAGGGTTTAGGGTTTAGGGTTTAGGGTAGTTTAGGGTTTAGCACGGTTTAGGGCTCAAGGCTCTTCGGGTGCGGGGAAGGTTCTACAAGGGACTCTATCTGGGCGGACTTCTAAGGGTTTTTTTTTGTAAGTTCAGAGGGGTCACGGTTATAAGAGCTTTGGGTTTCGAGGTTTAGGGTTTAGCCTAGGGTTTAGCTGTCTGGGTGCAATATAGGGGTCGAAAGAATTACCATCACTATTTTGGGGGCTCCTTGTTACACTAGTACAATATACCCCCAAATCCCCATTCTAACTATTAAGGCCCTTGCATGAAGCCTCTACGGGGTGTTCTAGAAGTTCATAAAGGGTTCCCTACAGGCTACTACAAGAGTTTTTGGAGTCTGGTATTCAGAAGGCTCCCAGGGTTTACGGCCAGGGTTTACGATGTGCTTTTAAAGGGCCCTAAACCCTAAACTTCCTAAGCCCCAAACTCTAAACCCTAAGCCCTAAACCCTAAACCCTAAACCCCAAACCCCAAACCCCATTTAGGAGCCTTGAGTTTTAAATTAGAAAGCAGCAAAGGTTAGAGAACGACTTTCACCACCTAACATACCAGAACCGGCGCTTTCCGTAAGCGTTTGAGGTTGTTGATTCATATGTTGCATTGGTTCCTGTACGGGAGGTGCCATTTGTTGAAGAGGTGCTTGAGGGTGTTGTTGCATAAATTGTTCGTTGGCAGCTTGTGTTGTTTGAGGGTTGGGTAACCACCCGCAAGACAAATGCCTTATGGACTGCAGGCTGCAGGACGTCTTTCAGTTACCAGGAGTGTGGCGAACGACACAGGAGTTTCTATACGCTCGTCGTCAAAGACGAGTCAGCGT